GTTATTGTTACTAAATCATAACAACTCAAATAAATTAAAGAAAATCCTTCTACAAAAAATTTCACGCGGACCAGCCAGCAGACGGGTCTCGAACTTTTCTCGAATAAGAGATGTGAGCAGATCAAAGCTGTTAATTTGATATCAGGGGACTTGGTGCCTACGAAGTATTCCCAACTTTGTACGGAATATTTTCATCATGCTTACTAATGAATCAAGACTCAAAAAGGATGCAATACCACAACCATTTTTTAAGAATATCAATTGTTTATTTGATTTATTCTATTGGTATACCCTGTTTCTGAATTACAACTATTTAATAAATAATGGTGTCTATTCTAGCATGATTCTCTAAACCTTAACTTAAATTTGACAACAATGCATCCTTGTCATTTTCTATACAGAATGAAAAGGAGAGAATGAATTTAAATTTATTTTAAATTTAAAGAATCATTCCAGAATCGACACCAATATCTCAATAATCTCTTATCTATTAGACAAGTCCGTCCGTCCGTCCGTCTGTATGTGGCGCTGTTTCAGCGGCCAAACCGTAAGAGATAGATAAAGAGAATGTTTAAGTTATAAGTTAAGAATAGTCTGATAAGACTACAAACCGGATTTGAGTAACGTAGCACTTCCGGTTTTTGAGAAATCACGAATTTCAAACGAAATCACACAAAATCTCCGAAGTTCTCAATTAATTAAATACATTTTTTTTAAATCAGGTTTTGGTGAACATTTGGTTCACTAGTTTGCTAGTTTGTTTCTATAAATACAAATGTTATAGCATTTATTCAAAAGAAAATACAAATATTTTAGGAGTCGGTGCTAGCAATTATATTTTTAATTTTTATAAACTAAACTATTAGATCAAATCAAGAAGGCCTTTTGATTTAATCTAACATTAAACTGTAAGATGCAACAAGGCACAGCAACAGTTTGATTTCCAATATAATAGGAAGATATTGTTTTAAACTTTCATGGTCACTAACATTATAGTAATATAAGTTATTTACGGGATTGTTACCATGTACCTGAGTTACTCCGTGATCATGGCGCTTGCAACAGTGCCGAAATATCGGAAACTCGCTTAAAAACTAGATACATGGTAACAATTCCGTAAATAACTTATATTACTATAGGTAGATGGAAGTGAGTTTAAAGTAATACTATGAATTCATCATACTGATGATTTTGGTTACCCATTTTTAGACATTAATAGGCTGATACCGTTTTAATGCCCTTACTGCGGGGGCACAGGCGTTCAGGAACGATAGAAATTACTGTATTATTTTCTACATAATACAAATTCCATTTCTTCGTCCATAAGTTTGTAATAAATAATAATACTGCTGTTGCTTTTTTTTCTACATGGCTTCGCACGGCTTGTGTATTTAGCCAATGTCAAGTGTTAAAATGTTTACAAATACTATGGCCCTCGTGGTCAAAGAAAAGTCAAAGTATGTGGCAGTCAAGTCAATCCCCCTTTCCCTATGTTTCAGTAAAAGTGTGGGGATTTACTGGAACCTTCCGTGGACTTCTTGAGGGAACGTCGAAAGATACTTTCCGCTATTTTGTTTCATTTGCCGACACTTGTGCATGTTCCCGAACACTTAGTGATTAATAATGCACCATGATTAGACACTAACATCCGCCACAACACAATTTTTAACAAGAAAAACAAAACTGCTAAAGTGACGCTAAAGTGAGTCCGTAGCTTTATTTATCGGCAGCACTTAAACATTTATTAAATAAATACCTACGTCTTAAAATTATTACTGGAATGCAAACGGACAGATGTATAGAATAAGGATAACACGAAACATAGCTTATTGAAAAAAATATATTACCTAAAAATGTCAATTAAAATTTCAAATGATGCAAATTTATTACCTATTGCAAATCACAAGAAGGAATGTAAATTAATGAAATGTGTTTGATTATAAAAAACGTTAATAACGACTAACGCAATGACGGAAGACCCGATTCATCTTCACAAACAGATACGGCGGATGAAACGATTCCATGAAATAATTCTCATGATGTTACTACACAACGATGACTTCTTAGTGTGTAATGAATATTATAAGTATTATCATCTATTATGATCTTTCAAATGTTTAATACTTGTAAAATTATTCATTTGACATTGTGGGTTACCTATAATGCGAAGAGATGGCGCTGCCTTGCAGCTTAAGAATGGCTAGAAGAATTTCGATGTGGTCCGTGAGGGCCGCGTTAGCATAATTGGTCAGTGCATTCGCCCGGATTGCGAAGGGTGCGGGTTCGAGTCCCGTCTGCTGCCTGGTCCGCGTGGATTTTTTTCTAGTTATATTTTCTTTACATTTAAACATCAAGCAGTTACATGCTTTAAAATAATAAAAATTATAACTATAATTGCTATTTCTTCTTTCAAATGTTTGATACTTGTAAAAGTATTCATTTGACATTGTGGGTTACCTATAATGCGAAGAGATGGCGCTGCCTTGCAGCTTAAGAATGGCTAGAAGAATTTCGACGCAGTCCGTAAACGCCCCGGTGGCATAATTGGTCAGTGCATTCGCCCGGATTGCGAAGGGTGCGGGTTCGAGTCCCGTCTGCTGCCAGGTCCGCGTGGAATTTTTTCTAGTTATATTTTCTTTAGATTTAAACATCAAGCAGTTACATGCTTTAAAATAATAAAAATTATATCTATTATGATATTAAGATTGAGAGACTTATTGTATAATAGGCTATATTTTTTTAAAGTTTTAACAACATTCATACGTTACTTATCAGGATGTAGCGACTCGACAAAAGTGGATATTTCTAATTATGTTGCGTATATCAGTAAAAAGAAATATATGGCGCGGAAACCTTACTCTAGCAAATATGGCCTTACAGCCAGGTGACGTCACACGGCTCTCCTTATAATGCCAAACAGTACATAATGTCACTTCGACTGCATATTTAGCCCTTTCAGGCCTTTTTGTTCACATGACGATAAATCAATAAATACTTTTTTCTTTAAGATTTTTTTGTAATATTTTCAACTACTTTTTTGCCATAATAGTGAAATCGTTGTCAATATTCGTATTAAATACCCATGCTAATAATTGGTGCTTTATTCTTCCTTCTGTCCAATAGCCTATTCAAAATAAATGAAAATCTCTGAAAAGGCAAATTAAGACATTAAGGCAGTTTGCAAAGATAATAAATACAATGAATGCATTTCCGCTTATACTTTTAGAGAACGATATAGCAGTCACATTGTTCGGGCTATCAAAATAAATTAAAAAAAAATCTATGAATGTAATTTTATTATTTGTAAGATTATGTTTATTAGGTACCCAATAATTTCGAAACACGAATGCTACGTGTTTGTTTTAGCACCGTAAAAAATCCCCCATTGATTAAAATTCTGAAATCCACGCACATGATATTGTGGTTTAAAGCTTATAAAAACGAGAGAAATTTTTATGGCGTGTACGCTCAAGCATTATGATGCAATTCTTAATGTACTATTATTTATTCTGGGTCCATGCTATTGTCATCTTTTATTTTGAAAGAGCACCAAATATGCGCTTTATTATTATGGTCTGTCGGTAAGCGACCACCATCATCATCAGACTATTAATGTCCCCACTGCTAGGGCACAGGCCTTTCCTATGGATGGAATAGGGCGATTGGGCCAAGATCCACCACGCGGGCCCAGTACGGATTGGCCCGGCTCCATCTACAGTCGTTAGTCACTCGTCGTTACTCACTAATCCGCACTGACTCTGCATGGTTGGTCATGGCTCAATCTCCCTATTCCATCCATAGGGATGGCTCGTACTCCAGCCATGGGGATAAGGTTGCCAGATCACCAAACGTAATAGCCGGACAGACCAGAAAGTTGGGCCGGACATTTGCGTAAAAAGGCCGGACACCCTACATTATTAAGAATTTTGTGACTCACTAAATTAGGTAAACAGTCAACTCGCTTGCGTTCGGCTACGCTCGGCGCTAGCTCGTTTGCGAAATGTAAAAAGACTAACAAAATTCGGAAAAGCGGACGCCGTTCATGTTGGCCGAAAACGCAATCAAATAGCCTATCTATGTCCGGATATATCCGGACGCTTGGTAACGCTAGATGGGAACATAAATAAAGTAAAGTAATTCTCAACAGAGAATGAAAAGGAGAGACTGATATTAGGTTTGGTTTTGAGATTGGAGAATCGTGCAGCCAGTAATATATATAGCGCAACTTACAGGCCCTGCCAGAATACCAGCGCTGTTGTCACTCGCATAGTAACTTGTGGCAAAAGCATCATGCTGAGGCAGGGTCCTGATCAACCATTAATTTTCTTTTATAGTTTTAAGTTAGTTTTTAATTTTGTTTTCATGTTAATGTTTATGTGTTCTTTCATTGTTATTGTAATACACGTGTAATAAATGGTTAATAAAAAATCTCTCTCTCTCTCAAATATACTGATTATGATCACGACGCTGCGTAACTTCACAGTATCGCTGCAAGGCTTGACGGAATTGCCATCAAATACGACGAATTCGTGACGTTAAGCTGATCCAATATCACTTATACTTATCCCTGGATTATACCAGGCGGTATTATGGAAATTGACTCAATAGTTTGTATCAAACTTTTTGGGTCGTCGAAACTATCAACGTGATTTTCCCGCTCGTTTAACTATTTTATATTATGGTACAAGGCTTTTTTCTTAGTTTGGATCGATTACTAATCTCAAACAGACATAAATTTTACTGTAGGTGCCTTGATGATAATATACATTCAGTGTAATAGGGATGATGACTATTTTGTTTTTCTTCGTTTATCAGTTAGATTATCAAAAAGTATTGTACACGAATTTTTTCTTTTTTCACATAATATAAACATTGCAGAGATATATTGATTTGAAAAGTCGTATGACGTCACGTTTTGGTACAAATTTCACTTAAAAGTGACGTCACGAGCCCCTACTCCCAAACTTTGATGCGCTTTATCATTGTCATTTTTTGGTTGATTGTCCAAAGAAAAATACGTGTCCATTATTTTTTGATCATCTACTGATGGACTTAATAGAATTTCGTTTACTTTACCCCGTCATCATGCCTATTGTTCAAACATTTTTATTTACTGCGTTTCGAATTTTACGCGTGCCTTTAGCAAAATTTTTATTCTAAAGGATATACATATTTCCGCTGAACGTTCTTCTAATTAAATATATTGTGCAACACATTGTAGCTGGCCGTTGTAAAACCATTTGTTTAAGTTCACTCTGACCTTCATTGAAATAAAAAACTACGAATGTATTCTTAATAGCTTTCAAAGAGGTATTATTTTTTTATGTTGCAATAAGTTTTTTTTGTAATTACAATGGACATAGCGTTGCATGATGATTTTTTTTATTGATGTGAGAATGAAATGTTTTGTTTTAAGTATCTATTTAGGTGAGTACTTTGAATGGCGTAAGTAGAATATCTTTCAGTTTTAATTAACACAAAGTCATTATCCCTCTTTTTATTAAACGAAGTCTAAGCTTGACCTATTAACGCCATGTGTTTTCTTTTTCTTATCAAATAACAAAATGGCTAAAACAAAATGTCCTTGGAGTGATGTGAGCGAAATTTGTGAGCCAAACTCTTTTTAACAACTCTGGTCCTATTGTTGAATATATAAAGAAAAATAGAGCAATATTAAATGATTTCGGTGTTTTGAATTTATGAATACATTGAATAATACCCGACAAAACTAAGCACTGTTCCCTGTTACTCCAAATATTTTTCTAATAAAGATCTTTTTCATTGCTATTTAGACAATTTATTAGTGCAACATCTGCTTCGGTAGGGATTGAATTTTAATATTTGTTTCCGCGTCATTATTAACTTTACAATACATAATAATATCAAATTATTTTGATAATAAATAATTGTAGTCAGTTGATCTCTATTTATTAATTTTATTTCACTTACATATTATGGTAGTTCCATGTCGAAATAAGTTGAATCAAATTAGCTTGTGTTTATACCAAAGATATTTCTAAGTTATTCATAATCAAGACTAGACGTATTTAAACTACAACATGAAATACGGCAAAATTGCGACATATTATTACGGTGACATTAAGGATGGCATGTTTTTATGAATTTGTCAATCAATTGAAATGTCGGATTGATGCACATTGAAATCTTGTTATTATTCGTTGCACATACTAATCATCAACTAAAGTTGTTTTTTCTTACAACATAATACTTAAAATTTTCCATTTGTATTTTTCTAATCGCGTCTAGATCATGGCTTTTATTCAATTAATGCATCTAGATTACGTTCTTTAGTAAAATTATTTCCACAACCTACGTCTTAGTTAAATTACAACTGACTAAACTTTTAGTGGCGGTTAATCTGATAAAACAAATTCTTTTGTAACAAACAACCTACTTTTACCATTCAGCTTTCAAGTAAAGGATATTTAAATTTCTAATGAATAACTGTACCAGTGAAAATCATAAATACACTGACACAGACTTCTAACCATCGATCATAGTAAATCACCGCTGTTTGTTATGAATAATTGCAACGGCAAACTACTTTACGAATTGGTTTACAAAAGTTATGTAAATATGGATTTTGCATTTTCGCAATTACTCGTAACTTATGGAGTCACTTGCGCTTTCTGTCGCAAACCACTGTGTCACCAAGAAAATCGCAAGATTACTACAACAGACCCACTAGTTAATAATGTTCGTTAGAATTTTGCAACGCACCATGTCCGTCGCAATTGCGATATGAGTGCGATACACTCCGGGGAAAATGACGAAAATACTGAGTGATGGGCCATTAAACTGTTGTATTATACAGACTACTTTATACAACAACACTCATTAGTAATTTAGTAAATTCTTTGTCGATAATTAAATGTTTGCGCTAGAGTTAAGATTTTGTAAGGTGCATTTCTGTTTCATTCGTATGCAGTTTATTTGTTTACTTGAAACAACAATACTCGTTAATATGTGGGCAAATGATATTTCTCTAAAATTCTCAATGCAGAAATTTTGTAACGAGCGCCTTGCTTGTTCTTGCCTTTCGAGTTAACTTTACAGTTGAGCAAACCATACATTACTGCTCATAATCGAATCTGATGTGTGAGATAATACTTTCTACATGAGCCATAACAATTTAAACACGGGCGGCGATTGCGCAAAACTATCGTTTACCACGTGTATATTGTCAAGAATGAAAATGCACGGCCGGTCCATTGCGTCACGACCGACGGCGCTCCGATGCGATACAGATCTGGGTCATATTATTACGCATTTCGCAAAACACATCATGCCTTACGATCAGCGTAATTACATATAACAAGGCGAAGAAAAACAAGTGCTACCGTAAAATTTTTGGCATCGCCAAACTTTATTTTATACAATCAGTTCGTAAAAAAAATCTATTCCTTGAGAGGGAGAATCATCAATTTTTCGTGTATAAACTTAAAAAAAAAACAACAGGTACATTCAACTCAAACGTAAATAACAGTTAGACAAGTTTGTTTAAGCTTAAAGAGTCACAACAAAGGAAAAGTAAGACTATTTATAAAGAGTATTATTTTATCAGTGCGAATGCGCGAGGCGTGGAACGGATCGCCCTGTGATCTGGCGCCGGGCCACTATCACCTCGATGATGCGTTCCACGTCCCCCGCTCGTATTAGTGCTAAGCTTATATTTATATATCACATTCAGACGACTGCTTCCTGCAGCCCTTAGTAGCTACCATGATGACCATACTCGTGTCCGTGTTCATGACCGACGATCACAGGGACTGGCACCTTGACTGGGTAAGGGACTGGCTTCTCGACTGGGTAGGGCACGTGTTTCTCGATGTGGACTGGGTAAGGCCTGTCAACGGGCACCTTCACGGGGATTGGCACATGCTTCTCCACTGGGTAGGGGATGTGCTTCTCGACGGGGTAAGGGGCTGGGTAAGGCACTTTGACGGGGTAGGGCACGGGTTTTTCAACATGGACGGGGTAGGGGCGGTCGACGTGGACCTTGACGGGGTAAGGCACAGGCTTCTCTACGGGATAGGGTACAGGCTTCTCAACGGGGTAAGGCACAGGCTTGGCAATATGCACGGGGTAGGGCCTGTCGACGGGAACCTTCACTGGGACATGGACCTCCTTGACGACTGGGTAAGGGGCGGGCACATGGACGGGCACCTTAACGGGGTAAGGGACCTTCTTCTCTACTGGGTAAGGAGCGGGCACGTGCACTTTGACTGGAACAGGCACGCGTTTCTCAACAGGGTAGGGTTGGGGTACGTACACCTTGACGGGTACTGGCCTGTCAACGGGTACATGGACGGGGTAGGGGATTTTCTTTTCAACTGGGTAGGGTTGGGGCACGTGCACGGGCACTTTGACGATCTCTTTGACTGGGTAAGGGACATGTTTGACCACAGGGTAGGGTTGAGGTACGGGTACCTTTACGGGCACTGGGATTTTCTTCTCTACTGGGTAGGGGATGTGCTTCTCAACTGGGTAGGGGACAGGGACGTTCTTCACCACAGTGACGGTTTTGTGAACCTCCTCGTGTCCACCATAGCCGCCTCCGTAACCACCCCCGATGCCACCTCCGAAACCACCATCGAATCCACCACTGTGTCCACCATAGCCAAGTCCGATATCGAAGAGACCTCTCTTCTCGTGTTTCTTGTCGTCGGATGCCGCCTCCTTGTTGTCGGTCACTGCCACTTCTTTTTCTGCTTTCTTAGCTTCTTCAGCGTTGGCGAAGGCCAAGAGAGCCACCAGACTGGCGGCCACGAGCTGTCAAACAAAAACAATAATTAAGATTTCAAATTGGGGCCTGGTGATAGTTGATAATACGGCTAAGTTAACAGTGGCCTGCAATGACTCATTAACTAGTACTAATAGGTTCGATATGTAAACTATGGCACAAAGCGCACGCAACGTTTCCCGGATTGTGTAACTCAATATGGAACGAGGGACTTTTAATTGGTCCGGCTAATTTGATTCGCGACCACTGCACTACTGTCACATTTCACTGATCACCATAATAATCGGATAATCGTATTAAAGTTGAAACACACCATGAACTTCATGATGCTGCTCTTGTAGGTTGCACTGAAGCCAGTGAACTCCTGAATGCGAATGATGCGTGTTGCTCCGCAGCTTCGCTATATATATGCAGCATGAGCGGCCGAGCGAAGAAAAAAAATGGCGTCGCGCTGTAGGACTATGTTACACTTTCGCTTTTGAGGGTTTGCGCGGGCCGAATTACTCCTTATCCGTATTGGATTCGGCTATCGGGCGATTGGAGAATTTCGAGCTTACACGTTAGATTGTAGTTGTCGACAAAGCTTTTGCGCAAAAGCTCCCGCGAAGGGTAAGACATGCCGCTTAATTTTGTATTGCAAATCAACTTTACGACTACTTTTGTAACCGGCCTCATTGAAATTACAACAATATAAGTAATTATTGGTTCTGTGAGTGTATTTATGTTAACTGAATGAATATGCAATTTGTTTTTCGCGAATTATCGAGTTAAACATTAACTTTTTATTATAGAATGTTTTATAATTATGAATAAGTTATAATTGAAAGTGTTGACATTTGGAATAAAACAATTTAACTCTTAGAAATGCAGCATTCTCGCTATTTTTAGAGCGTTTGGTGATAAATTCTAATTTATTGAAGGTTACAGATAGAATTGTGACCATATCGTTTATTATTTAGTGTCGTAAGTTGTGGTCGCGTAAAATGGCTTTACTCAACTCCAATAACTCATATATTATTGGAATATGAAACGTATGTCTAAACATTAATCTTTGAAAGTTATCTTTTAGATGTGCTCTCTGTCTAAGTTGATTTTTTAGTTCAAATTGGCAGACCTACGCTTCTAAGATTTCCAAAGAACGTCCTTAAAAGTCCGTTTTTCTTGTTCCCAAATTTACAGGTAGGAGGATGGGGTAGGGAAGGCAACGTGAAAATGAGTATTATCTCTGATGTGTCACATGTCTTAAGATTATTGTGACACATTTGTTTTTATTTTTTTTTGTTAAGGAGCTTTTGTCTGGTGACATGACATCTCCATCGAAACAAACTAACGAGTACTGAACTACTTAATTAAGAATAGGGAAGATGCAATATTTTTATTTTTATTTTCATTTTAAAGAATTCCATGTAGAATAAACCACAGATATATTAAAAAATTAAAACATTGTGATTTATCGGAAAAAATGCAGTTTTAAATTTAAATTTTCGCGCGAAAACGAACCTATGGTTGCGATGACGTCACTCCTGTCTGTCACTGGTCGTACTTGTTCGTCGCTGACTTTAAATTTTCATACTTTTGCATATTTTTTCGACGTTCGGAATATTTTTTTGAAAAATTTTTAATGGACTATCCATCAACATCATGTGATCATAACAATACCACTCCCATATTCCGAAAAAAAGCCATTTTGACTCATATTTTGTCTAATCTACTTCAACAAAGTTTCCAAATAAATTGTTTTTGACTGGAACTTCTGACCCAAAACTGAAAAAGTGGTTTCAAGCTGCAAAGAGAAATGACAATTATTCTCCAAAGACCATTATTCGATGCTGTGAAGATCACTTTGACGTAAGTCGGCGAATATACTTGTTATATGCTTAATTAATCTGCTTGTACGTAAAAACGCATTAGTAACCTACGTAATACTTACAAAATCTGTCTATAATATATTTTTAATTTTACAGTTGGAGAATGACGTCGAAAATTAGATAAAGTTTAAAATGTGTGACACAATCTTCACATTGGCAGGACTGAACCAAGCTTTGCGTTTCATTTAAAATAACTGGAACACGATAACCTTTTTTACGTACTTTATGCTCCAGAGAACTCGACCTTTTACTGTACATAATTCTCCATCTCTTTCAATTTGGACATAGCCGATTGCATTATCGCCGTAAGATTTGTAGAAGCCGCTGAATAAAATACGAAGTTTAACAACTACGATTTTTACATACCGTAGTAATTTAGTCCCTTTCATTTCTACACTTAAAAACTCTGCACTTTGGACAAAAAAAGTTATAACCATGTCAACACTAACTCTTGGTAAATTCCTGGAGTCTGCTTTGATAAACGCAACTTCCATTTTTATTAAATGTAAAAAAACGCAATTAATATTCCCATAAAATAATATTTACTTTAACAACCATAACCTCAAAGAAGTTGTCATAACAGGAGTGACGTCACTAAACGCTGATTGGTGTTTTAAAATACGTTCTGTTTCAAGTATTTTTAATTCGTAATAATTGTTAAAAAACAACATTATGTAAAATAAAAACGTTGCAGTGGCATTTCTTTTATATTTTTTTAACCTTTTAATCATAAAATTTTCGTAAATATTATATATGCATCTTCCCTATTGTAAAATTATTACATTAGATTTAGTACTTGTGTAATTTACTGGCGGCATTCCACTAACTAAACTATACAAGTACAATGCGGCTTCTGTTTCGGGGTAGCTCAGAACACTTTGAAAAATACCTATATCCAACTTATTTATCTGAAATGTTGATATAAACTTGTTTCTTTGAACCTGATTCCGCTGACGTTCCATCTAAAGATGATGCACGTTTTTGTTGACATATTTCGCAATTAGGTGTATTTACTTTTTTCATCATTTTATATGCAAACTTCCTTGATGGTATGTGACCGGACCTAATTCTTAATATGAGTTCTATAGTGACACATTTGAGAGAGGTACGGCACAACGGATTTTCCACACGAATTCCTTCGAAAAAGTAAACTATACTTTACAAAAGACCATAGTTAAATAACACCAGGTATCTTTTGGTGGTGTCGTGTTTCTGTCAGTGAGTTAGGTTCAAGGGCCCCACGAGGTAGGGGATTGGGTCAGGGCAGGCAACGGTGCGAGTGATATTTTTGGTATCGCAAGCGACTATTGAGAAGCTTGATGGCGCAAGTGATTAACGCGTTCGGCTGCGATCGTTGAACTTATGCAACTTTCGCAGTGGTCGGTCATTGGATGGGTGACCAAAAATTACTATCTAGAGCTCCTCCGTACTTCGGACGGCACGTTAAGCCGTTGGTCCCGGCTGCATCTGCAGTCGTTAGCACCCACCAATCCGCACTGGGCTCGCGTGGTGGGTCATGGCCCAATCTCCCTATTTCATCCATAGGGACGGCCTGTGCCCCAGCAGTGGGACATTAATAGGCTGATGAAGATGAAGCTACTATAGGCTATTGTGACCGCTTACCATCAGGCGGGCAAGACACTTGTTTGATACTCTTTTAACATAAAAAGTGGACAACAGGTGGAATAATTGCTTATTTTTAAGATGGAGAAGGGAACACAGCAGAACTTTTTTACGGATTACAACGATCGCTTGGGCAAAGTATTCGTATGTTTTTCTATGTTAATCCATCGATATCCAAAAAGTCTCGGAGGTTTAAAGGGTAGGGCCAGGTAGGGAAAGCGTGAGTCATATTGACGACCTCCGTGGCCTAGTGGTTTGTACGCCAGGTTTTATGGTGTCACCGACTCGAGAGGTCCCCGGGTTCGAATGCCGGTGGGGGCAGATGTTTGTGTCATGAATACGAGCATTTGTACTCCAGTCATGGATGTTTAATATGTATTTCTATATAAATATACTTATATATGTACTGTGTATGTATTCTATCCGTTACCCTAGTATCCCATAGCACAAGCCTTACAGTGCTTACTTTGGGGCTAATTGGTGTGAGTGTTGGAAATATTTATTATTATATTTTGGTATAGCAAGTGTCTATATCAAATGGTCTGCATATCATCAGGCGGGTGATAAAATTTTTCCCCAAACTTTGTCTACAAAAAAGCACTCTCCTGCATAAATAAATGATAATTTAATTCATGTGTGTTTAATTTTTCAGTCTTATGAAATTGACAGGTTCGGTGTATTATGTAAGGGCAGGTATCGCACTAGTGATACTAGATAGGGGTACCAAGTAATTACATTTTATGAACTTAACCTAAATTTTGTCGTTTCATACATACTTTCATTGATTTCATGTTAGGCAAACGTAATACTAAGCTTTTCATGCTTCCTAACGGACACAAACGTCAATTCTTAAAAATAATTGCATTGCCTGCGCAGACTTGGGGATTTTGTCCGCGGATGACAAAAGTTACTGAATTGTGAATAAAACCTTAAAAAAGGACTTATTACGGACTTAACTTGAGGACAGTTGTAGCTCGAAATTTCAGAGAAGCGCTCGCTATGTAAGAAAATATTCTCAAATTACGTTGTGTTGTATTAAAAAAATTTGAAGCTCTGCCTGCTCACACTCCTTCTTACAACCCGGGATTCTTGAGGCGTGAAGAAGCAACATGCAGGCCGGCAGGGTGTGGGTGGCTGGTGTGGCAGGAAGAACTACTGTACCAGCTATCTTCACGTCTGGACTTCACCGTCACTTAACATCAGGTGGGGTGGAGTCATTAGTCGGATATATCTATAAAAATAAAATGTTATTCTATATTCAGCATTCCCAAATCCCGGTGCGCTCCGAGTCGGCCGTCGATGACCGTTGCAAGATGTGTCTTAGGCCAATCACAGGCACATCAACTGGTAAACCATCGACCAATAGGTTAGGCTAATAGGACCTGGCTGAGCGTGGGGCGACAGCGAGGGTGGGGGTAGTGGTGACATTTGTCGGAACTACCTTTAAAAAAAAATACATGAAGTTTAAGTAGCCCCCCAGGTTCGACTGGTCTAGAGGCTCAAGCCGGAGAGGAGACTTCCCCCGTGGGGAGATGCCATCCGCCTGGAATACCTACCTCTAGAGGCACTCGCCAATTCTCGGCTTGAGGTCCCCTTAAGATCTCGCCGTCCCCAAACCCGGTGACGCTGTAAAGGTCATTTGTGACCAACAGCATACACACTCAAAAAAAAGTTTAAGTAAAATAGAAGACAGTTTAAAGGAGTATGCTGGGTCAGTCGCTGTGTGCTTTCTTGCGAAACAGAAGTTCTTTTTTTTGTCGCGTTATTCGAAGCAGATTGTAAGCGATCTATTTTGTAAGTCAAAAAAGTGCGCGGGCAAACGTCGTAGTACTCTTGAATTTATCATTTTCCTACTTTTTTATGCAAAGTTACTTTGGCCCAATTCACCAAGATCATGACAGCACTCTATGTAGTCAAGCTTATTGCCAATGTAAGTGCAGGTCACCTACCTAAGCGCGAAGCTTGGAGTGTTACCAGCTGCGATAGTATTCCAGTGTCTATCAAATCAATATTATATAAGAACTGTTTTTTTACAAAAACGACCAAGTCTATTTAATTTAATATTACGGCTACGAATTAATTAATAACTTTTAATTCGGAAATTAAGTTTTTGACACTCGTAATTGTGTGAAAAACCGGCCAAGTGGAAATTGAACTCGCGCGCGAACGGCGGAGAACGGTACCATTATCTATACAACATTAGACACTATGTTATTCTATCGAGCAAAAACGGCAAAAAATCACGTCTTTTGTATGTGAGGTCTCCCTAAATTAAGATTTTTAGAGAATTAAAGAATATTTGTTGTTTTTTTTTAAATACATTTCAATTTAAAATCTAT